GGAGTGGGAGTGGGAGGGACAATGGGGGGAGGGCATAGTTTTCTATGGCAGACCTATTACGGGCTTCTCAGGGTGCCCTCGATTTCTTACTGTTAGTTTCTGTTTAGAGAATCAAATTTAATGCATTGGGGAATCGCACCACCAAACCTGCGTGACGGGGTGCACATGGTGCTCTGCCAAATGAGCTTTAGAAATTGAAGCTCAATTTCCTAATTTGGGGGTTTTAGGGGCTTCCGAGGAGCCTCCCAAAACCTCCACAGGCTCCAAACTTGGTTGTGCCAACGCCCAAATTGTGGAACTGGGGGGCTTTTCATGGAGCCTCCAATCAACCTCTCAAACCCTCGATGGCCGAGGCGCAAAGTACGAAATGGACGGGCCCGATCTTAGATTGGGTGCGTCTAAGTTGTGGGCTTACCGACCTTCAACATCAGAAGGAAGACGTGGCCAAATCAACCGAAAAGTAAGTTAAGAAATCACTAGGATACCTTTAATTTCTTGATTTCAACATTTTATGTTTTTTGCACAACTGGCGGCTGGTGAAGGCTTCATGTCGTTAACCTCCCCATGACTCTTAAAAAGAGTTGCTCTACCTGAAATGGGCCTCCAGTTATGGTTGGGGCTGGAGTTTGACAGTCGTTTGGGGATGCTATTCGATATAGTACAGCTTCCGGGGAGCAGTTCGGCCCTAAACCCCTAAATCATGTGCCTCCTGACCTAGGATGAAGCATGGCGAGATTTCTGGAATCATTATGCAGATGCCCTCGTCGGATTTTATGGGCAGGGTGTGACACAGACAGCCTTGTATGCCAAAGTGGCCGACACAGTCAGTGGCTTTTTGGCTTTCGGTTGTCCCTTTCTAGAGTCTTGGCCGTCCTCAGTACCGTTTTGCGGACACTGTTAGCTACAGTAGAGCATGCCATACAAGATTAAACCTCGATGCGCGCTACAAACCATTGCAAGACCCGATAAGGATACAGTTCCCGCGGAGCTTCTGACGAGCATTCCGTGGTGCGGCGGCCAGCCCGAGCTTTTTCGTCCACTTGCATCCTTGTGCCAAGGTTATATTGTTGGGATTTGTTGGATAATGTCGAACCCCACCAAACTTACAATTCAGTCTTATGAGAAGATTATTCCCGATCTTTAAACCTCCAATCCTCCTTTGAGAGGTGTTAGGTTAAGACTCTTAAAGAAGACCAGCTAGGATTTGTCACAGCGTCCAATCTCCATGTAACAGGGGTGAGTATTTGTGAGAAGCATAATTAGATAGATTTGACCTCCCGTATCTCCCACGCAAATTCTAGGTGTCCTGTCCAGTGCGGCTGTCGCAACAACCTTCCGGCAACTCTTGCGAATGGTGTCTCAGTTGCACATGGCAAGGCTCCGACCTCTGTTGGGAGAAGCTTTCAAAATCAGATTTCTGATGGTTTTGGACGAGCTCAATAATTTGAGCTTCTGCTTCAGGCTTGCCAAGCTACTGCCCAGCCAGCTGCGCCGGCAACGGCAACATCACTGCTCTTTGAGCCGCAGGACGTGCAAGTGGTTTTCCGCCAATGCGAGAAGCTCAAGATCTCAATGAGGCTTTGTTTCACCAACTGCATGGTGGTCTCCAGAGCCTCAAAGAGGCCGGATGCGGATTTCCAAAAGTTATCGTTCATCGTTCCAATGAGCGATGAGGACTTGTACGTGCAGATGCAAGTACCACGACATGTACCTACCTTCAAGAACAATTCATTGGGGGAAGCACCTGCATCCAAGAGACCATGGCACTGCCTCTTCGATGGCTGGAGAAGAGCAAGCAGCAGCAGCAGCAGCAGCAGCAGCAGCAGCAGAAGCAGCGTCAGCAGCGGCAGCAGCGGCAACGCCAGGAGCAGCACCAGCTGAGAGCAGACGAAAAGAAAGGATGGGGGCATCCCCCTCTTTCTCTCTCTTTCTCCCTCTCTCTCTTGGGGTTGCTGGCTTTGAGCATATTCATCACATTGCAGTTGTTTTTCGGTGCTGCGCTTCCAGAGCGTGGCACTACAAGCAAGCGCGGAAGGCTTGTAGTTACTTTCAAAGATGTTAGCCCTAATTTGCTGTTTCATGCTTTTTTGGTGTAAAACAATATTCGGCGTTGGAGTAGTTGAGCAGTTCGTACATTCAGCTCGAGAAGAAACCTTCCGACTACAGTGCATTTCAGCTTTGATTGATGTACACGGCTGTAGAGCGCGTTCTGGGTGGCATCATGTCAGGATATTAGATTAGTAGGGTTTGTGAAGGCAAGTCCTAAACGACAGATGCGCAAGGGGTACTTCACCTAAGCCCTGGATTGCCCTTTCGGACGTTCCCGCACCACGTAACTCTCCACCTGAGCTCTTGTTTTCATAAGGAAACTTAAGCCCTGAATCCTAAGGGTCCAAGTGCCCAAGCCTTGCCGGCTTTAGGTACCAAAACCCTTCCACATCATAGCATTTGCCACCTAAAATCCCGCTATCTGTGCACTTGGACCATCCAGGTAAGAAAGACTAAGAACAGTCATTGCAAAGTAAGGATGCGGCTTCGGCTTCTGATAACGCGTCAGAAAATGTTGAAGACTGATTGGCGGTCCCCTAGATACTAAGCAGGGTTACAGGATGAAGGGTATTGCACCGCTACTTCGAGTTGAAGGGGGTATGGGAGGCGGAATGGGGGAGAGGATCATTCCTCTGCCCCACATATAAGGCCCGGTAACAACAGTAAAGTTTTCAATGTCTTTTCGAATCCTTTGTTCGCTACTAAGCATCAAACCCTATCCATCCCTATCATCCGTTGGTTCCAGCTTTTTCTTCCAATTGATTCTCCAATATGAAGCCCCCCCCAAACAACTTACAATTCCAAACCAGGCGGGCCCTACAGGAGTTCCAATGGCCGTACTCTTCGGTTTCCTCTTCGGAGTATGCCACTATTCCGTTCCTGCATTGCTATAATTCCTTTCGGGACAAAAGTTCGCTCTATTCTGAAGACTGCCGATCAGTATTGCCTTAACTCAAACAATCATGAATTTAACCCCCATATAGCCCCTCAACCCTAGATGGAACAGCAGTTGTTTCTCTATTTCTTGTCCATTCCCCGTGGGAAGCTTCCCAAATTTCTGGCAGCTTCTTTCAGGTTTGAAATTCGAGCGCATGTAAACCGTTTGCCAGAGGCAGGTTAGACTGGCACTTCCAAAGGGTACAAGCTGTGGGGCCTACAAAGACTATACCTGTCAGGGTTAATGCAGCGTTTTGCCTACCAACAGTGCCAATACAGACCGTGACCTGCTCACCCTAGAGAGGACCATCCTTTTTCCGTGCTACTAAACCACCCCACCCACTAATTGGAAGTACCCCCTGCCTACATTAACAACTGTATGGAGGATACATCAGGATTGCGAGGCGTAGCTTCGTGAGCCATGCCAGCGCCTACTGTTCCAAGTCCTGGGAGCAAAAAACATAGCAGGGACTTCGACACTGAGTCGAACTTTGAGTCTAACTTGGATCCGGACAGCCACTTACCTCTATCTTTCCAAACTCTCAACTTTTGTAAGCGCGGCTTCCATGATAGCGTGTCGTCCTAGAATTTCCGAGTTGCGAAAGTAAGGCAAGATTCACAGCATCGCCATCGAAGTGACCCCTAGCGGCAACCGCCAAGAGGTGGAAAGTGATTGAACATTTTGCCAGAAGGTAAACTCTCTCCAAACATTTAACCGATCTTCCAAAACAGCAAGACATGTGCTAATAGTGATAGTAACAGTATTACCAAAACGAAGAGTAAGAGTCAAGTTGATAGTAATAATATTAATAACAGCATTAAAAGAAATTCCAGTAGAGTATATTACCCTGTTAAATGGATAGAAGATGGAATTGCCCAATCTCATACTATGATCCCCATAGCTTCCTTCATACTCTATCTACTTAAGGGGGACTACAGACCATAAAGCCTAAACCCTAAACGTAAATCCTAACCCCCCTGAGAGCATCCCCAGGTAGAAGATGAACTGCGCCAGCTTCAGCGACAGTTCGACGCCGAGATCCTAAGGATGTTCCCCATAGCTTTGGGGGTCAAGGGGTCTACCTGTCTGTTTCCAAAATCAGTGATACCTTCTTGGGGTTCGTATCGTATGTTAAGGATGATAGTGTTTTGGGCATTGGAGTCCCGTTGTTAAGGGAAACTACATATAGTGATGTGTAGGGAAATGTTAGCTTTCTATGGGGCTGAAAAAAGGGATGTATTAGGTTTCCGTAGGGTTTTTACAGGGATATCTTCTATAGTTCCTATAGGTTATGGGATAGTGAGAGAATGGAACCTAACTTTAGGGTTTCGGGTTTAGAGTCTAGAGTAATACCATCACATCATCATGATCACGAAGTGCAATCATCAATACTCAGCTGCGTCAAGGCTTGGCCTTGTGCCGCTATAATCTATGCCCCAGAGCACGATCTAGAAGATATGCCTTCCGAGGGTCCTTGGAATTGCTGTCCTTAACGCCCCATGAGGATTACGGCGCGCTTGGGGACTATCGAGAAGCAGCTTGGGCTGTCCAATGCGCATGATGCGAAGCCCGAGGAGTTAAACCATCCCACACGCTCTGGGTCTGCAGTCACCGGTCGGGAGTCCGTGGGGTCAGTGGCTTCAATGGGGTCACTTGATCATCGTTGAGTTGCAGTGACTTTCATTGGTCAGTTTTTCAGTGTGCCGAACAAAGAGGGACTACAAACCACAATTCAGACAATTTCCCAACACTTCCACAGGTCAGCTGGCACGACGCGGACTGAGGGAAGGACCACACCCGTAACATTCGAGGAAAGTGCTTGGAACATCCCTCTTGTCCTCGGTTTGGCGGATGTCGGCTGGTTCGACACCGTTTTTGCCGTGTTGCTTGTGCTTCTGAACCTGGTGATGCAGGGCTCCTTCTCGGTCATTCTGCTGTCCGAGTCTAGGCTTTTCAGAGGTGTTTTTGGTTTTGCTTCCGGGCTCCCGTACGAAGACCAGGAGATAACCATCAGCCGAGGAATACTTCATGGGCGAACCCTTCGACACCAAGGTGCAGAGCGCAAAGGATTGGCGCACAAGCACTTGGGACGCCAAGCATTTTTCACGTTTGCTTTGGAAGCTCTTTCCCAGACTGAAACAGGTGCTGTTTTTGGAAGCAAGCGTGTTTTCAATTTTCTCTGCCTATATCCAGTATTCCTTATATGTTGCTATAGATTTGGGGGACCATGAATGCCTTTCAGGTATAGCACATGATGCCCGCTACTTGGATTTGGCTGGAACAAGTCTGGTATCTCGCGTCTGCGCTGGCGACGGATCTCTGATTTTGTCCACGGTGCAGGCCACCCTCATCGAGCACATCAACGATTTTCTGGGCTTGCAGCCAGAAGAATTTGCAATGAACGTGTGGCAGCCGGGGACTCTCTTGTGCATGCTCTGCATCCTGCTGTGGAGCTTGTGCGTCTACAAGGACTCTCACATGCAGCGAAGATGGCCCCAACATCCTTAAGTCGCGCTTCCTAGTCTTTGGTACAGTAGGTGTCCAACTTGTGCGTACAAACAGCGATCAGGGGCAGTGTCATGCAAGTGTCAAAAAAAAATCGCCGGAGGAGTTCAGAAAGATTTGGCATGCCTTGGAGGCGGCTACACACATTCCCAAGGTGCGCTCCTGCAAGCACGGGCTTCAGCCTTGAAATTCAAGTGGGGCATGCAAAGAATCAGGGTCCCTTATTGGACGCCCGATTTACAAGGGAAATAGTTCTTTGAGGTATGTACATGAGCCCCAGATTTCAGAAATACGCGAATGGGATTCATCCGGTTTATATTGGAAGCCCGGCCAGCATCTCCAGTAGGATCCTTCATGGTACCCAGAAAATGTCGCAACTTGTCTGTTTGTCGTGTAGGGACGATCCTCAGCAAAGAAATGAGGCCTTGTGGAGGAACTTACTGGGGCTTACGCAAACATGGGTCGTGTTATGACCTGCAGCCTTCAGACTTATCAAAAACCTTGAACGAGTGTACCCCATAATAATCCCAGTTTCCATTTCATTTTCCATTTTCTTTTCCATTTGATTCTCCATTATAGTAGTTTCCATTTTCTTTTCCATTATCCCAATATAATCCCTATACAACCCCAAGATTACCGCGCATTGACACCATGACTTGAAACAGTCCCAGTCAGGCGAGTGAAACGGACTTCCGTGACAGCACCATCTTCACCCTTTCCTGGGGTCGTACCTTGGCTTGTAGGCATCATGCAGGTTTGAACTCCATACCCAAAAGCGGTGCTCTAGGTTTAGCATGTTCCGCTAGATGAAGCCTCGCAATTAACACAGCATGTGTATGAACGACGCTGGGCTAACGCGTTTTGCAAGTGTCAGTAGTCGTTTGAGCAGCTTCAGTTGAAGCCGTTTTACTCAACTAGAAATCTCACAGGGCAGTTTTGCATACACCGCCAACAGGCTATAATCTGCCACTTGTCGGAGGACATGCAGTCCCTACCCCCCAGCCCGGAAATCCGATAGCCAAGCCAGAATGCGGCTTCCTCAGCCTGTAGATGTACTATAGTCTAAACTCCTTAAAAAGGGGTTATATAGGGGACTATATAGGGAACTACTATAGGGGTTATTAAGGGGGATACTAGGAGTTTAGACAATGGCTAAGATGGAGTTCTGCTAGTTTTGAACGATGTTTTTACTTCACACTGAATCAAGTGCGACTCTGCTTCTGATGGTGTCTGTTCAACTTGAGACATGACCTTCGCAACCATTCTTGTCTGGCTTGTGAAAGTTCCTTTGTTCCATGTGGGGGGCTGTCAAAATTATGGTCCCCTTTTGGGTCCCCTAAATAATATAGGTGCCGTATTGTACTAAGGACCCCCAAAAGGGACCATAATTTTGATAACCACCCATGTGGGTTTTCTTCTGTTGTCTGGTTGTTGGTTGGATTTCTTCTGTAAGTGCCGTAGGAGCCTGAATGCTTTCTAAGCTTGCTAGAACCTGTAAAATGCACTAACTGTAAAGTACTATAGTAAAATAGGCTTAAAAAGGACAATGGAAAAGAACATGGAAACTACGATAGTATATTGGGGCTATATAGGAATAATATGAACATTCCTTCCATTGCAAGATAAACATATGCCTGGAAGCCCCATTCAAACTCTTTAGGCGTCTACTTCAGGTGCCCTTGCGCTGCTTATCACCTATATCATCCGCGCGGGCATCGCCTCAGTCTTGCTTGTTGCTGGCATTCTCTGGCTTGCACGCACAACGTCCATCGAAGAGCTCATGCTCAACGCTGTCGCCTTGAATGCAACTTGCCTGTCCAGTGGGTGGTTTAGGGTTTTGGGTTTAGGGGGTGGGGGTTGTTTAGGGGTTTAAGGTTTAGGGTAGTCTGTCACGTTTTGGATAGTATGAAGCCCAATAAAACTGCGAGTTTAATCTTGGGATATCTTGGACAACGAAGGCCATCCTGGATGTGGATGAATTCCTCTTTGCAGGCATCAGGGAATCCTAAGCCCTAAATCCTAAACCCTAAAGGGAAGTTGAACTCCAAGAAATCATCCTCGGGACTGCTTCTTATCGTGGTTTAGGGTTTAGGGTCTAGGTTTTACAGGGCATTATAGGGGTTGGGGGTCTAGGTATGGTCTTGTAAGAGCTTAGGATTTGTGAGCTTTCTCTGACACTGGCAGGCATGATTTGGATAATGCCCCCACTCAGTAACAGTGGGTTCACAGCTGTAAGTTAGAATATCGTCACCCACATTTTCGATTGGGTGGAACCCTAAACCCTAAATCTTAAACCCTAAACTCTAAACCCTAAACCGTGTACCCAAGGCATGACGCCCATTAAGATCCAGCATGCTATACAAGACCTCGAGCCGATCAAAGTCAGCTACAGCCACCGCCGCAGTCAGATTGAGTCAATGGTTCAACTCCTTGCAGTAATGGCAACTGTGCTCACTGCATACCTGTTCCCTGGATAGACTTGAAGACATGTTTGGGTGCTTAGATGTTGTTATTTCTTTGTGACAATGATAGGTACAGGCAGAAATTCAAATTCGGGTCAGGTTCCTGCTCGTTCCCCTTGGTGACACCATGCTGACGGTCAAGCGCGAGCTATGTGATGGTCAGAGAGATTTTGTGGTCTCCTACAGCACGGAGACTCAAATATCTTTCGGCCTGGACACGCAGGACCCGGTGCATGGATTTGCATGCTTCTCCATTCTCCTCACCAATCCTGCTAGATCCCCGTGTTGCCTGAAAAGATTGCAAGTACGGGGGCGAAGCGTTAGTTGGAGTGAGTTCACTTCGCCTACTCACGCCCTGTGAGGATCTTGAGGTTGTGCGCAGTACCTATGACCTGTCACCCGTCGAGCGAGCTGTCATGTCTCACAAAGGTACTCCCTCGAGCTTATTGAAGGACTCCCGCTTCGCAATTGGCATTGTGATTTTTGGTCCAACTGTTTAAAGAGTTGCCCAGGTTGAGCCTGCTATCTGTCTTGGTTCAACCACCAGAAAAGGATTTCCCCAAGTTTATATTGAGCGTTTATGGTCAATAATTGACAGTTTTGCTTGAGACCTTGTGTGCCAGGACGACGGGGCCTTGAAGCCTCCTTTTAGAGGAACGGAATCTAATATAGGGTTGGAATACTTGGTGTACAGAGGTCTTTGGGTATAGTACTTTAGTCAGATAGGGAAAGTCATGGCATAATGGTAGTGACGCACTGCTTAGGCTTCTGCAGCATATGAGCTATAGTCTTAACTCCCAGTATCCCCCTTAGTAAGCCCCATAGTAGTCCCCAATACAATTCCCTATATACCCCGCTTTTATAGACAGTAGCTCGTGTAGTAATGGAATGGCAGTAATCTTCATAGGCAGGCAACCCGTCAAGTTCGTCGCAACCAAGGACTATAAGACCCCTATTAATTAGGAATATACGGGTTATATAGGGATAAAGAAAAGTAAAACGGAAACTACTATTTAGGGTTTAGGGTTTATGGGTTTGGGGTTTATACTGAGGAACCAAGGATTATCCCCGGACGATTTACTTTGTGGAGGACAGACGAGCCTTCAACATAGAAGTTGATCGATGCTTGGCTCGATGCAGTAAAACGTGCTTCAAAGAATTCTGTGATGTTTAGGGTTTAGGGTTTAGGCTTGAATGCTGTGATAGGCTTCGCGGGGCTTACATTTCCATGGGCGCATGCGAGCATTTGCCTGGATTTGTGGTTCCTTTTGTGTTTCCACAGGTCAAGTAGAAGCCTCAATATCTTCCAATATTGTTCTTGCCAAGGAATTGTCGCATAATGTATCCCATAGCCCTACACTACTTTTCCGCAGTAGTCATAGGACATGAGGGAGCCGCACTGTGCGTCCTAGAAGCCTTACTTGGAGTTTCACGGGTAGTCAATTGTACGTGGCGTTATGAGCTATGAGCCCGTTGACTTCGGTTACCACCATACTTATCCGACGGCTATTAACCCAACACCCTAAACCAGATTACAGACATGGCGCAGATTAAAACCCAACAGCTTAACCACGAAGGTACAGTGACAGCAGTCGGGACAACGTTCCCGTTCTGATTCTAGGTCATGCTTGATATGTTTTTTGGATTTGACTTGTCAATGAAATTTCAGATCAGATGGGTAATTTCGCCATATGAGCTTTACATAACCCTTACAGTCTCCTAGTCTGCCCTAGAAGCCTTTTTTGTAAGTGTACCCGCCCGGCAACTCCCCAAATAACATTCCCCTGAAAACTCGCCCACGGATCCCAGCAGAATCCGTGGGAAACAGGATCACGTTGCCCGTGTTTGTCGTGTCGAGGTTGGGCCAGTGATAAGATAAACCTCATCTTACTAACCGTGGTATCCCATTCAAATAATGGTACAGGGTCTCTTTAAAGGAGTTATAGGCACATACAGGATTTCGGGCTTAGGGTTTAAGTCACTTTGTGCCAGTTCCATGTGTACTTCGATCTCAATTACTTCTGTAAGCCCACTAAGTCCGTTAAAAAAAAAAAATATATATATATATATGTATATATATATAGATATATATATATATACTTAGGGCCGCCTAGCCCTTAGAAACCCTCAAACACACTTGGCCACAAGCGCTGAACTCCGTGTAAGTCTGACTGCTCCAAGCCCAGCAGGAAATGGTAGTTTCCCCAAACAGGGGGACCCCAATATAGGCCCCAAAATACTATAGTCCTTATTATTGGGACCCCTAAAAAAGGTACCCCTAATTTTGGGAAATCCCCAAATGAGGTTAGTAGGATCATGTTCTCCAAGGCTGCGGTGGTTCTGGTCCAAGCGGTATATGGGGTTTCCCAAGATTAGGGGTACCTTTCAAGGGGTCCCCATAATAAGGACTATAGTATTTTGGGGTCTATATTGGGGTCCCCTTATTTAGGGAAACTACCATATGGTTCAGGGCTCGTTGAGGTTTGCGGGCTCCGTAAAGCCACAAAGCCAAAGCCTAAATCCACAAAGCCGCAATCCTACACACTCGCATGCTTCCCACAGAGTCTTGCGCGACAGCTAAACGGCATTTACACCTTCCAAGAAAGTTATCGTGTTCCTAAACCCCGGAAGCTGTAAGAATATGTGGAGACCCTGCCTTGATAACGCTTAATGTCCATGTCCATGCCTTCTCCTGACCTGCCGCAAAACTTACAATATCAATGCCTGGAGGCTACAAGTAGTTGCCAGAAATCTCAGGCCCAAGGAGCGCCCCAAGCTGCGTGAACTCTAGAACCCAACTTGGGAGTTTCTCTAAATAGGGGGACCCCAATATAGACCCCGATATATTATAGTCCTTTTATAAGGACCCCCCCAAAAGGTACCCCTAATTTTGAGAAACCCCCACTTGCCAGCGAAGGTATGGAGGTCATGGTCTTAGAAGAGACAGGACAACTACATCAGGACCCTGCGCTGCAGCCCATCGTCGAAGCTTCGTGCAAAGCTGGCTCGTGACAATTGTTTTTCCTGGGTTGCTGTTAAGGAACTTAGATTAAGCTACCATAACGGGTATATATAGTAAATAATAGGGTTTCCCCAATATAGTAACTTAATTTAAGTTCCCTAACAGCAACCCAGTTTTAAGAACTGATGTATTTCTTCTCGAGGGTTCTGTGGTATGTGTGGTGTAATGAATGCGCAGTCCCCTCGCTAATTTTCAAGATGAATTCTAGGTATACGCGGCTGCTTGTTTGGATTCAGGCTTGCGCTTGGGGATAGCTTCTGCCGCAGAACGATTGAGATTCCCAGTTTCTTACGCCTAAATGGCCATGGTGGGGAGATCCCCCCCGACCAAAAAGGCCGCAAAAGAAGGCAACGGGGCAACACGTTGGTTTTCGGCTTTTTCGGACACTAGGTGGGGAAAGCTCAAAAAAGTCGAAATTATCACCTGGTACCTGGTAAGATCCTAAGATTTCTTATGCCTGCGACAATAGATAGCACGAGTGTTTCGTAACTTGTTGACCTAGGTTGGACGCCTTTGTGCCATCCACCAGTTACCACTATGGGCTATTAGACCCTAAAATTCCCTATTAGGACCCTATTAAGGGTAGATTAAGGTACCCTTAAGGTCTAATAGCCCATAGTGGTACAGGGTGCTCAGAGCTTGAGGCGACGAAGCCCGAACTCCTCGGAAAGTCCCAAGTGGGAGCTTCCAGAAACAGGGAGCCCCCATATTTAGCCCCAAGGATTTTCTAGTCCTTGTGATAGGAACCCTCGAAAATCGAACCCCAAGTGTTGGAAACCATCGAGTCTCTGACCCCTCAGCTCTACTCCCTCCCCCTCGAGAACTAATCTGAGAACAGGATCGTGCCTTGCTTTTCCTGCACCCGTTTTACTTCCTCTAGGCCCCTTTGAAGCTCCCCAATCTTCCTTTTGCTCGGTCGTTCCGACATGCTACCAAACTGCGTCAGAGCTGGATAGCCTAAATGCTGCAAAGCTGTCACAGGGATGTTTCTCATGAAGACATGGTCAGTACCTAAACTTTCATAATCTGTTTCCTTCCACGGGCTCGAGGCACCGTGTGCGAACCACCCCAAACGCTGAAAGCTGATCCCTAATCACCCTGTCCCAAAACCTTTAAGCCCAAAACCCAAAACCCTTAACCAAGACGTCTAGGAAACAATCTTACGGAATGCAGCTACAGCACTTGGGCGCCCGACCGCTACAACCTGTGCAGAGCTGGCTGATTTGTGCCTAGGCAGGGTAAATCATTTATTCAGGGTCTGGGTTTAGGGTTGAGGGTTGGGGCTCAAATGGGAAAGAAAATGGAAAATAAAATGGAAACCCCGGTTATATAAGGGTATATATAGGGGTTATATTGGCGCTATATTGGGATATGGGAAAAGAAAATGGAAACTACTGTAGTCTATTGGGGCTATATCGGGATAATGGAAAAGAAAATGGAAGCTACTATATTGGGGTCATATAGGGGATATATATATATATATATGTTAATGATTTGGTAGTTTCCCGAAATAGGGGTACCCCAATATAAACCCCAATATATTATGGCCCTTATTCTAGGTTCTAGGGATCCCGAAAAAAGACCCCTAATTTTGGGAAACTACCAAAACCCTAATCCCTAACTCTAATCCCTATAATCCCTAAACCATAAATCATTTATTCAGGGTCTACGGTGGAGGCTTTACCCTACGGTTGCCCAATATGGGCGGTTCGCCTATATCAGAACCAACTCAGGCAGAGATATGGGTTTAGGGTTTCGGGTTTGGGGTTTAGGGGTTTAGGGTTTAGGGCTTAAGGGTTTAGGGGTTTAAGGGTTTTAGGGGTTTAGGGTTTATCAGGGGTTAGGGTTTCGGTTTAGGGGTTTAGGGTTTAGGGTGAAAAAAATGTAAGGGGTTAGGGTTTAAGGGTCAGAGGTTTAGGGTTTGGGGCTTTTCCACGCAATCCATTCATATTAACTAAATACCGCCCACCCCTACTAATATATGAGAATACTGTATTAGATATTCCCCTGACCCTAAATCCTAAACCCCTAAATCAGTCAGAGCCACCCAGACCTGAGTGTTCCTTTCGGTGATGTGGATTTCCGGAATGCGTCAATCCCTTTTCCTGCCTTAACAGGTATGCGTGTGATGCAACTGCGCCTCAACCCTTGATCACAGAATCATGGTGTCGAGTTTTGGGTGTTTGGCATTCAGGGCACTATGTCAATCCTTGAAAGATTACATGAGCCATAGTCTAAACTCCTATCCCCTTAACAAGCTATAACAGTCCCCGATTCACTCCCCTCTAGAACCCACTTTAAGGAGTTCAGACTATAGCTCACATAGAGGCTGAGTTGAGGGTTTGAGTTGCAAAGCGGTTTCGGCTACAAAAAAGGGTTGTCTAAAACTCCCAGGTTGGACGAGCGAGCGTTGCAATCTTGAGGTTTCTGTGAACCCTGCACGTTTGAGTAGAGGCCGGTGCAAAGAGTTTTTTCATACATGCGAGTGGCCCCCGGTGGTGCCGAAGAGAGTACGGAAGATACAAAGGTGCGGTCGTCCAGACGCTCGACTGTTGCGAATTACATGCGGAACCACCTGTGGATGCACGAGCCCAGTGACCGGGGCAAGTTTCGAAGGGAAGTTGGGTTGTTTTTTGGGTTTAGGGTTTAGGATTTAGGCTTAGGAGGGCTTAGGGTGGTTGTCTTTTGCGCTACAAACTTTCCTCAATCCCTCACCACAAGTCCTAATGTTTTGAGTTTAATAAGCCCCCAGGTCAAAACCCGAATGCGTAAGCCATTTTCTTCATCAAATGTCATGTTTGCCGATGGAGCCCGCAAACCCGTTTTAGGTGAGCAATCCTTGGTACAAGGTTGAGGAGCAGGGGTGCCATGGATGCACTTTTGGGCTTGCCTCCAAAGCTGGTCTAAAGATGATTGTTGACATCATTTTCTGCATTCTTGTCAGATGGAATGTTTGGGGGGCCTGTGCTTATATAAGCCTGGATTGTTGGTATCCCCTACATACCCCTGCATGCCCCAAATCAGTTGCGGCACCCTAAACCTCATTTAACCGTGTAACAGCTGGGTTTCCCAAATGCCTCGCTACTTCCGCCTTCCGCCCAAGGTAGATTTAGTCTGATGCAGGTGGGCCATGTATCCCTGCAGTCCTGATACAGCTGTACTACATAACACTACACCCTGCAGTTTCATAAGCTCGTCGCTGAGGTGTGCCAGGCCCTGTTTGGAATGGGCTGAGCTCGCGCTTCCAAACGTTAGCTGCCAAGATGTTCCTGCTAGTGATGCCAAGCTCACAGGGAACATTTTCGGGCTTGGGGTTAAGGATTGGCAGGAGGTTGACAATTTCAAAGGTTAAAAGTATGGGCCCCTAATGTGGCCCTTAGGCCTTTTACTCTGGGATCCTTATATGCCTACTATAAACCCTATATGTACCCTTAAGACCCTTACGGGCCCCTTTTGCCAGATGCAAAAAGGGGCCCTTAAGGGTACATATAGGGTATATTGTAGGCATATAAGGATCCCAGGGTTAAGGGTCCATACTAGGGGCCCATGGTTTCAACCCTTGACAATTCTTTGAGATGTGCTTCTTGGGGAAGCTTTTTGTTCCTCAGGAGGTGCGGAGGTGCTGTTGCCATTACATACCACGATGGGCTATTAGACCTTAAGGGTACCTTAAGGCTTAATCTACCCTTAATAGGGTCCTAATAGGGAATTTTAGGGTCTAATAGCCCATAGTGGTACAGGAGTTTGTGTGGGTTCGTCTTCCGGGGAGCTGCTCGCCGGAGCACTTGCAATCTTTTTTTGTAGGGCTGCTCGCTCACGACTCAGGACCAAGCATGGCGAGATTTCTGGAACCATTATGCAGATGCCCTCATAGGATTTTACGGGCAGGGTGTGACACAGACAGCGTTCTTTTTCGGCGTGGCGGACACCGTCCGTGGCTTTCTGACTTTTGGTTGTCCCTTCATGGAGGCTAGGCTGCCTGGGAACAGTTTTCTAGACTTTCTTCGTTAAAGCACGTATACTCCTTAGGAGGACCCCCGCCCTGTAATAGTGACTAATAGACTAATAGAGGTATAATAGGGATATAAGAGGATCCTAATATGATCGCCATGCCGCCATGCTCCCTCATAGTCACCATTGCTGGGGGGGGTCCACCTATGTAATGTACTATACTATGGAAATTCCCATACTTATGACACTCCCAAAAATTGGCTCTAAACCCCATGGCCATGAGCTGCTCAAAGCCATAGGCACTACCTAGGGGCTACACTATTATCCCTCCCAAGAGTCCGCTCCCATTTGGAACCCTGTTAGATAATTAGTCCTTATTTGCTTCAATCATTTGGGGGGGTTACCTTCCAGGTGGTGGGTGGTAGTATCATTCCTTAACCACCCAAAGAACCGCTCAGGATACCGTTCCCACGGAGCTTCTGACGAACTCTCCGTGGTGCACCGGCCGGCCCGACCTATTTCGTCCACTTGCATCTTTGTGCCACGGCCATTGGTTTTTTGACCCCCCAGCCCAGCTAACAAACATACCCTGTTTAGATTTATCGGAAGATTTGTCGGATCGTTAGATTTCCAGTCCCCGCGCGAGACATTGCTGTAGAAGAATATGTGCAATGTCCAATTTCCAGCAAAATTGGCCTCTAGATTTGAGAGATGCAGATGTCAGTTTCATTGCCCCCAACCATGTTTTAGGTGTCCCGTCCAGTGCGGCTGTCGAAACGACTCTCCGACGACGCTGGCGAACGGTGCCTTCGCTGCCCATGGCAAGGGGAGCTTTCAAACATGCACGCCCTTATGTGCCTTTCGGGTGGTTTTAGACGAGCTCCCAAGCAACTTAGAAGTTTCGGCTTGTGATTGAGGATTGCCAAGCTATTGCCCAGCCAGCTGCGCCGGCAACAGCAGCAGCACTCTCCTCTGAGTCGCCTGAGGCAAACTCGGATTGGTTTTCTGCCTGTTCATAAAACTCTTTGAAAAAGGCAGAACTGATTTCTCTTAAGTCCTCAAATGTAGTATCTTAGAACATGGTAGGAACAGTTTGACTGGTGGCACACTGGGGGTTTCCAATTGATGCTGGCCCCCCTTATGCACTTCAAAAAATAAACGTCAATCCTCAGTCTACAGATTGCCAATCAGGGGCCCCCGAATGTCTGGAAACCCGCAAATTTTCAATCTTCCGAGCCTCCAAGAGGCTAGATGCGGATTTCCCGGGGTGGCTGTACGAATGTTTGGAAGCCCGCAAATTTTCATGCCAGGGCACAGGCTCTGTTTCACAGTTGCCTTGCAATCTTCCGAGCCTCCAAGAGGCTAGATGCGCATTTCCCGGGGTGGCTGTACGCTAATGACCCTAGGTATTTGAGGAGGGGGTTACAGTAAGATTACGGCGCCCCTATTAGGGATTGTGTTTCTAAAAACTACTGGTTCCCCCCACAGATCTGTGGTATAGGTTGAAAGCAAGCACCAGTACGCGTACATGTATCTACCGGGAACAGGCACAATGCCTAAGGCATCGAGGGACACACTTGCGTGCCAGAGACCATGGCGCCCCTTACATTACACGATGGCCAGAGAAGAAAGAAATCGGACATGCTGGACCAGTTGAGCTGTAGTCTGAACTCCGTAAACCAAGGCAGGGTTTCTATAGGGGACTACTGTAGGTCTCATTAAATGGGATACTAGGAGTTGAGACTATAGCTCAGTTAGTTCTGCAGGCGTGCTGGTGCCTATGCTGATGTTGATGCTGCCGCAGCTCCTGCTCTTGCTCATGGCAAGGACGGAAAGACTTAACGATGGTCAAGGTATAGCGCATTGTGAATGCATTCAGGCATTGGCGGGTATGTCACCAAGACTGGGCTCTTGTGCGTGGCCCGCGTGTAAACCTTGAATCAGTTGCCAAGCCCACTTGCAGCCAGATCGACCAAGCTCCTAAACTCTGATGAGCCGCATGCCAGGCAGGCGCGAGAGCAGCTGGTGAGCGTGGAGATCAGTTTTGCCAGTCAAGACGACCGGTTTGTTAGGATGGTAACGTAGAACCCTGAAGCATTGTTTGGTTCCCCTGTGATCCCCATACACTGTAGCGCGCATTGTAGGTCAATTGACCATAGCCCTAAGCTTGCACCGCTTCAGGTGCTATGGCAAACTTGAGGATTTCCAGTTCTACCCAACCTGAACCCAGGTCCTGAGCCCCTACTACGGAGAACCAAAAGCTATAGGATAATTAGTGACCCCCTTTTCGGGGTCCCTATAGCAAGGATTGCAAGTTCTTGGGGTGTGGAAGAGAGACCCCTTTTTCCCAAAAGTGTGGCGAAGGTTTTCTCCGCGGAGGCAATTGTCTTATAGGATTGATTGATGTTTGACGGATACGATGGCGTGACGTCTGATGGATGGGATGATACGAACGGGATGATGTGATAAGGTTGCTGTCAGGTTGTTGTACGGTCGTCATGAGGTGATAAAAGTCTTAGTAATAGATCGTAAACTGAAAATAGTAAGAGTGAATAGTAAAAATAGCTGGTATTCATATATAGTCTTAGTAAACAATAATAGCCAATAGTAAATTGCAAGTAGTTATAATGAGTAGTGTTAAAAGACAGCAAATAGTACTAGTAACCAGTGCGTAGCAATAGTAAATAGTAGCAATACTTCTAAATAGTGATAGTGAGGTGAGGTGAGCTGAGTTTGGACCGAGGCATGAGCCTGGCCTAACAAAACTATCAATAAATCCATAAACCTTAAACCCTAAACCCATAGTAGTTTCCATGTTCTTTTCCATTGTCCCCATATAACCACTATATTATTCTCCTATATTCCCAATAGGGGTACAAGCCTGAAACCCTTAAAATGGCAGCCCCGATGGCGCAAGGCCCCCTATAATTGAGCAGCAAATGAAAAAGAACATGGAAAATGAAATGGAAATTGGGGTGAGGGTTTAGGGTTCAGGAAGCAAAAACAGTCAACGAGCACAAACAGCATGACGACGAGCTGAGCGCGGCCAGGCGCCGTAATGGCATAGCACGCTTCCCTACAGATCCCTTTGCAGGTACTAGGTGCAGCTTAGCCCCCGCAAATGCGGACGCTCACTCACCAAACTCAAATCCTGTGTAAGCGGAAGTGGCAATTTTTCAGCCATCCACCCTGCAGACAGGCCCACAATCAGTGTGCTCTGGGAGTGGCGGAGTGGAGCAAGTAGTGATAACAATGAATACCAACAATGAACAACAATAAATAGTACACTGTGAAACAAAGGATTAGAAAATCATTGGTAAGTAGCATTGGTTAGTAACAAATGGTAATAGTAGCTAGAAGTTTAGGACTTCATGCCGTGGGCACATGTAAACAGACACAAGCATTAAGTAGAAAGAATGGGATGATGTAGCGGAATGTAGCGTGGGATGATGTGATGATCTTTTTGTACAGTTTTCGTACTGTCTCGGATGGGCCCCTGAGGCTAATGCTATGAGATGCGGTTTGTGTTATGTTGGCTCCTGATTAATATGAATTTTGCCAAAAATAGGGACCCCCTTATATACCCAAATATATTACAATCCTTATTATGGGGACCCAAAATGGTACCCCTAATTTTTGGAAACCCCCATATCTTTGTCTTCCACACCTCCATGCTGCAGTTTTGCGTTTCAAGCCCGAAACTTCAAAAGCCTTCAAGTAGCTCTGAGTCCTCGTAGCCTGCTGGAAACTGCTTGCACAGCAAAGCTCAAAAGGCTGGTGGTAATCCCCTCCCTGCAATTCAGGGTTCTCGTAGTCATCCCTGCATAACCTTTAAACAAGGGCAAGCCCAGAGGAAGCTAATACGGCGGTGGTGAGGAGAACTCACAAACAATTTTCCAATTGCAAAATTTGTCTGGCATGCAGGGACATTTTTGTCGAGGGCGTGGGTGCGTGGGGTCTTCTATTGAGGGAGCTGGGTGAACGGTTCAAAGTTCAGAGTCTAGCTCTCTCACCTGTCACTCACTCACTCACTCACCCTCCATCTCTCTCTCTGTCTCTGTCTCTCTGTCTCTCTCTCTCTCTCTCTCTCTACTGTGCCATCCAGCCACTCTATACACCCAGGTTCCCTTGCATTTTCCATTTTATTTTCCACATGATTCTCCATTATTCGGGTAATCATATCCTTAAAATGGAATATCTTCTAGACCAATACTCATGTCAGCTTCTAGCCGCAGATTCCAGGCTTGCTTTTTTTGTGTGCTGCAGAAGCTGCCACATGTAACTCATGCGTTCTTGACACTCTATAGTCACTTAAAGCCTGAACCCTAGAGCATCCAGGGTGGAGGGGCTAGGCTTCCCGGTTTTCGGTACTGTGCGCGATGTCTTTCAATGTGGTTGAGGTGCACTTCCTGAATACGACAGGTGGCACAGAAATATGAGTTTCTCAACCAACCTTCATCAGAGGAAGGATGTACGGGAACGCTTTGTCAAGACATGTCTGCAATGAGGAAAAAGATCCTTTTTCACAGCCGCACACAAAAACAAGCGCAGCGAGTCGGCAATTTAACAGCCCAGGCTCCAACCATCAAGATCCCCCCTAGAAAGCCAGACGCTCATAGTTTCCAGCCACTTTGAATTAAGGTAACTCATGATATTCAGCAACTGGGTTTTTCAGGGCCTCCGTTCGTAGTTCCAAAGTGTGAACCAACTTCATCCGGCACAGCACTAGATCTTCCCAGCAACTGAGAAAAAGCTGATGTGGCGAAGTGGTAGAGTCCAGCACCCTACTCAAAGGCTCGCGTGTAGTTAGAAGCTGGGACACAAGTAAGACGGCTATATTTACAACCTGCCAAGGGGACGTTTTCAGCAACGCAAGTTGAAACTACTCCTCAGACTTTCTTGTTCATGCGAGGAGCGAATATTGGTAGGATCATAGGATGGTTAGGGGCATCCACTCCGCCACTCCGAGCCGAAAACCGTAAGTTTTCTTTTCCATCATTGCCCCACTCACCGTTTCCACCCTAAACCCTAAGCCCCCCCCAAAAAAGGCACCAAATCCCCAAGCACCAGTAAAAAGTTTGCTCTCCTTACGAGTCAAGGTCCGATCGCCGGCAGAGTGCTCTGAACATGGCGCGATCCCCAGAATGCGCCTAGGGTTTAGGATTATAGTTAGGTCCCTTAAGTGGGGTATCGAAGGTCTGGGTTTAATTATGGTTTTAGGGCAAAAGAGACCGCTAACCCAACTACCTTATAAACTCCCTGTATTTTCCTCCCTAAATACCTAGGTGGTCCCATACTGCTCCCCAGAAGCTACAAGGGTCTGCATTAAGGGTCTTCCCTAAAGACCGTAGATTCTCAATGGGTTTAGTGTTCCAGGGTTCATAGTATGGGAGAGGCGGTGAGGGCCCCCCTGACCTAAATTGGAATCCCATACAGCGGATCTGAGAAGAACAGCACAATAAAAGGGACCCCTTCTCAACTTAGCGTCTGTTTTCTGAAAATTGTCGCAAGGCAGGAGATCTCAGACTTCGTGGGATTTTCTGGCAGCTTGAAAAGTAAAAGTCATCCTAAAATCCTAGGTGCTTCCAGATCTTACAGGTTTACCTGAAGTACGTGGCAGCCAAGAAACATCTGTCTTAACTAGTTATTCTTAGTTTCGGGATCCTATACTACTCCCCAAATCACCTAAGCTTATACGTTGTCATAAGCTATCATGTTCCACGTGGTCGTCTACAAAGGACGACCGTATGGCTCCTCTGATAAGTTGCTTGTGCCATTTTTCACAGGTCCTTTTACTAGTTTTGCAAACTTAGATAATTAGAGGAGGGTGTTAAGAATAGCAATAGCCAAGGAAATTGTAGTGGGACAGAAATTTACCAATTTCAACTCAAACCGCCCCCCTAAAACGTGCCGTGAGCAGGTCTTGTATGAGCAGCTGCGCGAGGACTGCGGCGTGCGAATCTCATCCAGTAGTTT